TAAATGATTACAACACTTGCGTGTCACTGCTATTGGATAAAGTTAACACTATCTTGATGAAAGCTTTTATTTTTTCTTGTAGGAATATTATTTATGTAACTGTGTAAAATCATAATAGTGTGTGATAAATTGTACAATGTAATATCATTAATATGTTGTTGTTTTTTTCAAAATATTTTCCCTTATTACCACACCAAAGCTTCTACAATGAACAATTGGTCTTGCTTGTAACAATAAAAGCAAAAATATATTCTAACAATAAACAACAAAAACTCATTCTGACAATAAACCACAAAAACACATTCTAGCAATAAACAACAAAAATACATTCTAACAATAAACAACAAAAATACATTCTAACAATAAAGAACAAAAATACATTCTAACAATAAACAAGAAAAATATATTCTAAAAATAAACAAGAAAAATACATTCTAACAATAAACAACAAAAATACATTCTAACAATAAAAAACAAAAATACATTCTAACAATAAAAAACAAAAATGCATTCTAACAATAAACAACAAAAACACATTCTAACAATAAACAACAAAAACGCATTCTAACAATAAACAACAAAAATACATTTTAACAATAAACAACAAAAACACATTCTAACAATAAACAACAAAAATACATTCTAACAATAAACAAGAAATACATTCTAACAATAAACAAGAAAAATACATTCTAACAATAAACAAGAAAAATACATTCTAACAATAAACAACAAAAATACATTCTAACAATAAAGAACAAAAATACATTCTAACAATAAACAACAAAAACACATTCTAACAATAAACAACAAAAATACATTCTAACAATAAACAACAAAAATACATTCTAACAATAAACAATGTAAAAATGTTGTAAGGGATGGAATCAGCTGGTACGCTTATAAGAAATTTACAAAATAGAAATTCGCAAACGAATAAAGAAGTTATTAGAATTTTTTGGCTAGTTTTATTAAAACTTAAACGTCTTTTTTTCACTTTAAATATTTATTCAAGGATTTGTAATCAAAGTGAATCAGACAGTGAAATAACTCATGCGACAAGCAGTATGTTGGGTGTATTCCTCCCCTCCCCCGATGATCCGTTTTTAACCCAAGACTCCGCAAGGAAATCAAGTTTCCCGCCGAGACTATATCACAATTGGCTACTTGTCTACAAGCTATAAAACTCCGTCTTATTCTGGCGCCAAAACTCTACGAATATCACGTTGTTCATAAAAAAGCAAATCAACGTTAGATGAACATGGAGCTACCAGGCGTTCAAGGTAGTAGGTGTTTTACGTAATAAACAGAACGGATACGGTCAATATTGTTTATAGCTAATCAGATAGATAGAAATATGATATATATTTATACATATATATAGAGAGAGAGAGAGACTAAAAAATCTTTATTTTTATCCCGATACATATTTATTGTAAAGAAGCAGAAATACGTTAGAATATCAATTGATATTTGATATGAGAAGATTTCTGGGATCAAACTTTAAAATATAATTTATTTTTTAACTTCTTTTTTAAATAACAAAGTTACGTTGAAGTTTTGATTCAGTTTTGATCCACAAAACATATTTGCTGTACTTCAGAATGCTTTACAAACGTTAAAACAAATGGCTTATTTAGACAACTTAGTTTTATAAATATTGTAATTCTGAACCTGCAACAAGTATTTTGGAACACTGGCATCTCATGCAAACGTCAAGCATCACCTGAGCAACTAACATAATAACAATGTTTCCAGTACTACAGAAAATATCGTCACAGAAAATACCGTCTTATAGAAAATATCGACCATTACCTAGTGCTAACTGGAACTCCAAAAATTTATTATTATATTCGACAAAATGCTTTTATCAACTCGAGTGTGTGAGATTAGCAGCTCGTACACACACGGCGAAGGTAATTTTGGGTATTTATGGATAACTCGCAGATACAGCGATAAAGAATCTAAGTGATGTACAATCTATGTAAGGCAATAGGAGGGGCAGGAAGTAACTATTACCTTACTCTTATATGTAGTCCTAATATGTACTTATAAAAGAAAAGTTTTTGAAAGCTGTATAGACTAACTCGTTATAACTCCCAATGGATTCTATACGATTTGTAAACTACACAAAATTATTATAACTCCTATGTATTTATATTCGATTTGAAAACTAAACAAACCTACTATCTTTCCTAATATATGTCTACAAGAACAAAAAAGACCTACTATAGCTCCTGATGTATGTCTAAACGAAACGACTTGGAAGCTAAACAAACCTACAATAGCTCTTAATGTATGTCTATATAATTTGAAAGCTACAACAGCTCCTAATGTACGTCTAGATAATCTGAAAGCTAAATATACCTACAACAGCTCCTTTATAGACTTACATTAGGAGCTGTTGTAGGTTTATTTAGCTTTCAGGTTATATAGACTTACATTTCCTTTCAGACAAATTACGAATAAGACTTCATTAAACAAACGTGCAAAATATCTACAAATCACATATTTTAGTAATATAAGTATTATACTGTATTGTTACGCGTAGTTAACTTGTATACACGTGTAACAAAGAATATCACTTTATTCTGATTCATGAAAATGTTAGCCTCTGTAGGCATTCGTTAACAGCCATAACTGTTGGTCTATGTACTTTTCAAGTCGTATAGACTTACATTATGAGCTAATGTAAGTTTATTTAGCTTTCAGTTTATATAGACTTACATAAGGAGCTACTGTGGGTTTATTTAGCTTTCAGGTTCTTCCATAATCCTCAACATAGTGGTCACCGAACGTCAGCCGAAGCTGGTACGTAGAAGAAATAAATTGGCTTGTCCTCAAATAACTTCTTTAAAAATAGTGAGAGAAAACTTTAGAATAGTAACTGACCGCTAGAGCAGAGTCTTGTTTCTAACTGAATAACAGGTTCAAGTTTTCGATAAACATCTGTATTACCGTCTTGACTAAACTTTGTAAGATTAATGCATATTTTAGAATGTTTAGATAATTTTGATAGTGTTTAAGGACTTTTCTTGGAATAAAGGTGTTTATTAATGACTATACAGGACCTACATGTGTAGATAGCAATAAATCAATATATTTCGAGACTGCAGTGCCGAAGCTAAATAAGATTTTATATTTGCAAACTGTTAAAAAGGAAAAGAGGGAATAATCAATAGCCATGGCACTTGAAATACTTTTAGGCAGGATTGGAGTACATTAATCTATAAGACTTTTCCCCCTTTTTTATTAACTATATTTTTGTGCGCCTGTAATACTAAGCATGGGGCGCGCGTATACCCGATTCAATTTTATTACTCACCAGGATCTCTATCAGCTTACCTTCAAACTGAAATTCCTTTAGGCAGGATTAGAGTAAATGAATCTCGGAATCCTTGGGTATGGTTAAATACATCAATCGAGAGGGTTTGACTTCCTGAGTCTAAAACTGTAATTAGATCTCAACTCGGTCAAGAAATGACGAAGCTATGAGATAAACGTTTGTACTTATAAAAACAACAACAAATTCACAGCCGTTCTATAAGCCGTTATGCCGCGGCTAAAAAAAAAGAGAGAGTGTGTAGTAGCAATCATTTAAAATCTTACAGTTTTGGGACTTCAAAGTAATAAAATAACAACGTAGGCTCTAAAAATCAACTAAGTAGTTATTGTTACTATTGCACATGCGTATCAGCACATTCTATGTCTATTATTTTTGCACTACAACCTTGGTCATGTAATACCTATTGTATTCACCGTTTAGGGGAAAGTTAAAGAGACATAAGTTTATAAGTTAAACTACAAAAACACTAGTGTAGCTGGTGAACCCGCTTAGAAGATCTTATGCGACAATAATGAGCTCATTTACGCTATCCCACAACGCAGGAATCAAAACCTGAGTTTTTGTCATAAATCTTCAAACTTACTGTTAAGCCACTGGGCGCGAACTCTGTGATTGTTCGTCAGGTAAATTTCTTGTTATTCCTTGTATAAGCTACAACGTTTTATGATTTAACTGGAGCTTCAAAGTAAGTATTGAATAACCCACTGCAAATTCTAGTATGAAGTTTTAACATCGTTCACTTAAAATTATGTGGCGGGTAAGACTTAATAATTTATTTTAAGATTATGTTATATTTCCCCAATAAATCATAATAATCGCTTGACACTAAAGTGTATTTGATTGACTAAATTTAAGCCATGACGCAACAAATGTAATATAATATCTAAAGATGCAACGTACTGCACAATATTCAGTCGAAAAACGCGTTATTAAAACCAGAAGAACTGTTTAGGTAAAATGCTATTAAAGTCAATAGAATTGTTTATGTTTAAGGTGACGTATCACATTAAGATATAATGTGTGAAGTTATTATAAAGCAAAGATAACACATTTTGCTCCTTGCAAGATGAATCCTTGGAAGTGTGGTATTATTTTATTGCTACTATCAAAGGGTCTCTGATACTTGAGTGAGAGGTGATCCTCAAGTATACTCTTATAATTGGATAGAATTTCATAACTGTGATCAATTAATTCCTTAATCTAGCTGTTGGTTCAAACATGATTTGGTTAATATTTTTTTTATTTTTCAATATATTGTTCCCCGGTGGGACATCTGCAAGTCTACAGACTTACAATGCTAAAATCCGGTGTTCGAATCCCGGGGTATATACGACAGGTAACCTAAAACAAACAAGCAATTCGACATAGTGTAGCAGTTTTGCCAATAAGAAATTGCACTCTTAGAACTTGGTGACCACTTAATAATTTCTATTTTGATCAAAAGACAATTTCGGATTCAATACATTACCGCAAAAAACCCTTAACAAATAGGAAAAATTAATTAATTTTGTGCTCCGTTTCAAATTAAATATTGAAGTTTTGGATAAGAAATGTTAGAACAAACGAGAAGGATGTTCATCTTGGACATATTTACGATAGTTAAGCGTAACTTTAATTATGATTTATCAACTTTGTAAAATATTAAATCACAAACCTGATGACAGGACCTAATAGAAGCACGTGAAAAAAGACACGTACTGTCCAGTCTAGTTTGGACATTTTTGGCCTTTGGACATTTGATGAATGGGTCTTACGCTCCTCTTGGTCATGCATGTACCAACGGAGACTGAAGGCATTGACCGTGAGAGCTGGAATGACGGTGACTGCTAAAGTCAGTCCAAACCACCACGAGTTACCCTCCAGATGTAAGAAATAACACACTGCAATGTCCGTGCCGATGTCAATGGTGTATGAGAAAATACACACAAGAGTGAAGAAAGCGCTGAGTAGAGAAAAGTCTCCCGTGTGGTCCACTTGTCTGCTGAAGACAAATTCCGTTTGATGTAGTGGAAAACCATGGCAAGGATAATGGTGGTCCTGTAAGATGGTCTCAATATGAGCTCCCTCGGAAATGTGGGACGAAGGTCGTCTTTCTTCTTGTGGTCTCCCTGCCTGATACCCCTGACTACGCTGGTAATGGAGTTTCCTATTATAGCGTATATCATCCCAATAGGTGGGATCCTGCATCTCCAACTCATTCACTGCTACCATAGGATGTCTGTCCACTAAAAAAAAAAAGAAAGAAAAAGAAAATATGTAATAACAGTGATCTGGCTTCATGTCGTCAAAAATTGAACTAGTATAATCGAAAATACCGTTTGACATTTTTCGTTTATCATTACCATCACTTAATACTGAATTGGACGTCCTGAATTTAGTATGGTGAAAACCCTTCACGATACAGGAAAGTATCTTTTTCGATTGTTGTCAGGTTTATCACAGGTGCAGACAGAGAATTACGCAAAGGCATCCAAGTGAATTAATATTTTGTGTTTGTACACAATTCCAGACAATACGAACACAGTCAACTGCTGTATTATCGTAGTAGTGGGAAAGGCCTTATTCATCAGACTAAAAATGACGTATTATCGGGTGGACATAATTAGCAACAACGTTGAGATGCTATTTACCTGGTAAGGACACAAATCTAGAACGTTACCCACACAATTACTCCACTTCTAGAAACTTGCAATGTTTGAACAGCTTGTCTTAATAATAACATACCCTAATTTTGGGGATTCGGAGTGATTCCCATTCTCTCCTATTATTTTGTACACCAATATATTAAAGAGTCTTTAAAATATATATGATAATTTTGTATTGAATTAAAGACGTGTATTCGTCATCACAGAATGAGTTAATGTATACTTCAATCTCAAGACAACTAGACGACACAAAATGAACTTATGGCGACCTTTGAGTATTAATAAGTATGTATATTTTTCCGTCTAATTTCTTTGACACTCAAGATTAAGTGTTAGCTTGTGATATACGTATGCTCACGTTTTTATGTTTTTGTTCCCATATATGACTGGACAAAACACCGAGGAGAAACAGGCTACACTCTTAAGTTCTCCCTTCTCAAATATATATTGCATGTTGTATTTTCTGTAGTGCAGACAACTTATGTAACGCTGTATAATATATATACTTTGGATGTTATTTAATCTTATAAATAAACTAAACGTATATAAACTTCACCCACACAATTACACCATCTTCAGCAGCTTTAACAACTGTAGTAGTACCAGGAAAATCACAAGGTCGTTGAGTTCTTCTTCAAAACCTCATTTTTTCCAATTGTTTGTTTGTTTGAAGTTAAGCACAAAACAACACAATGGGCTATCTGTGCTCTGCTCACCACGGGTATCGAAATCCGTATTCTAGCGTTGTAAGTCCGTAGACATACCCTGTGCCACTGGGGGCATTTTCTAATTATAAATAATTTTGTCAAATAATGATAATATGGCGCCACCTACTATTCTTTACGGATTTTGTGTACAAAAGCAAAGCTTGCTTACTGTAAAAAATCGTGCTTTATTTCCGCAGCAACTGTCAAACTTGAAATATTGACTGAAACTGTTTTCACGAAAAAACAAAATGGGCTGAGTCTCAGAGAGAAATGTAACTAGTTTAGGAACACATATTGGAATGCGCTTCGTTTATATTCTTACTCTTCGAATACAAAGTAGTGACGTAAAAATAATTATGTTTTCACCAAAGCTAATTTTTTTTTGGTACACAAAAACGCAAACTCGTAAAGCATATTGCATTTTTAATCATGCTAAGACGCGAATATTCCGAAAGTAATATTAAAACTCTCTCAAGCAAGCCACTTAAGCGTTGAGAGGTGGCGACGGAAAATGTAGAAAAAAAATTATTATCTAACCCCTAGAAGTAAGATGCAAATATTCAGAGCTAACCTTTTGTCGACAATAATATAAAATTATGATCCTTCAGAATTTACAGGTAGTTTCACTCATTTGTTTACACATTTTATACGTCAGTTAAAAGACATATAATCTTCTACAGCACCAGATGAAGCATCATTAAAAAAAGTAATATACCTGATAATAAGGTTATCACGATAAGTAATGTGCCATGGCTAGAAATGAAACTGCCAGCAGCAGCTGTGGTTAGGGTACAACTGTCTTGCAGCTTCGAGGATGATACACTTGTAATAGGTAAGTAACTGAAGTGAAAAATTGCAGTAAAACTTTACTCCTGCTATTAAGATGTAAATTCAACACTAGTTCGCAGGGGCGAGCACGATATATTTTGTATATTCTGATTGAAAGACTCTGCCGTGGAGAGTAACACCTTTTCTTTACTCTTGTTGTCATAACTACAAACGTATATTTTAATACCTTGTTTTTATAGCTATATTCACAAGAAATTATATTAAGACGGCCACACTCAGTATAACTTAACCATTTTCTCTGGGAATTATTTATATATTTCGTTTTATTAAAGTCCCCATACTTACTATATATTATTACATGTGGTAAAGGAGCCACTAGAAAAGTTACTTACATAAGTACCTCATGCTCTTAGACTCTCAGCTTCTCTTGAACTGTTGGAAACTTAAGTTTTTACAACATTAAACTGTTCTCATCACTATAAAACTGTAATAATTTCGCAGCTATAAAACAGAAGCTACTTGAAAATGTTGGCAAGAAAACTGAAACATTACGCTGAGGGTCATATTTGCACTCTGATATGAGCAGATACAGGTATGCTTCGCTATTACTGATTACTTGGTGTTAACAACTGATGACGAAGCGATGATCTTAACATTTGATCACGTGGCGAAGTACGACTGTTTTTATTGCTATCTCTGACAAATGTTATTCTAATCAATAACTACAGATGAAAGATTATTATTTATTTCGTTTTAAATAACTCAAACAAGAAAAAGAGATGTTGATAAAAACACACACACACACACAAAACACGCACAGTAAAGGTCAAAAGGAGGCAAACAAAATACCAAGCAAAATATTTTTTTGTTTTGAATTGTTGTTAACATTGTTTATCAAATCAAACATTTTAAGATTTTCATGAGATTTTGCATAAATTACCCTGAATTATATTATGATTGTTGGATTAAAATTATATTTCATCAATTGCTAATTATAGTCATAAAGTTTAAGTTCGGATGGGAAATAGTGGTTATCGTGCTGCTTCAGTGTGAACCAGAGGGTCCTAATTTCGTGTCCCGTTATCGCAAAATTACACTTCTCACTCGGGGCCATGGGTGTATTACAAGAGTGACGGTCAAATCCCACTATTGGATTAGATTGTATTGAGTTGGCGGAGGGTGTTTGGATGCCGTTGACTAACTACTTTCATTCTAGTCTATCAGTTTAAAATTGAGACAAGTTGAAAAGATAACTCTCGAGTAGCTTTATGCGAAACTCAACAGCTCTTGTACAACTTTCCACGAATATCTGAAACAAACATAAATTTTGGCTTTTGAAAAGGTTTTTGTAAAAACACGGACTATCTAGTGACTCAAATGAACAAAAGTAGGTCATTAGCACGTGTATTATTAGAACACAATTATAGAAATGCCCATTTCTTAACATATTCTTAGTTTGCTTCTATAAATTTGTGATTCAACAGTAAAGAAAATCAACGTGATGCAACAATAAAGTCTCTCGTTTGGCGATTTTTTTCAGTCGCTAGGTAACTAATTTCGCCCCCGGAGGGGGAGGCGAGTCTAAATGAAATCGGGGCCATGCGTGTGTGTGTGTCTATCTGTCTGTATTTCCGCGCGCATTTCTCGCAAACTAATAGATCGATGTACACAAAACTTTTACACAAGATGGAAAGTCAGCATGGGACAGTTCTTCCAAATTTGGTTCGGATCATTTTGAAGCGTTTTTTATAATAGAGAGATAGGGCATTTTCGCGGTTTGGGGTTAAAAACTCTGTAAAGTGTGATAGGATTGGTACCAAATTTCATGAGCACATTAAAGTCGAGACTCCTTATCACACTACAAAAAAAAGATCGTTGATCATTCTAGATCTGAGAAAGATTTTCTGAGTTTTCGAAGGTAAAATTTGACGTTTTTCAATATAAAAGCATGCAATCTCGAAAATGAGAACCTCCCAGTGGCACAGCGATATGTCTGCAGACTTACAACGATAGAATCTGGGTTTCGATACCCTTGGTGGGCAGAGCACAGATAGACCTTTGTGTAGCTTTGTGTTTAACTACAAATAAATCGAAAATGAGTGGCAGGACGAGGGTATGTAATCTCTCATTGCGTAGAGAATAATTGTAGTAATTCAAAGATAGGACAATTAGTGAAAGAACACAGAACCAAGAACAAAAGGTGTGAATAAAAAGAAATCCAGGCTAGAGATAGAAAACCATTAGTAATAAGTTAAAAACTTAGAAACAATGATCGGTTTATGATAACGGAATGGAAAACAAACTAAATAAATGGTTAATAAATTTGGTTAAGTCACAGCAACAATAGATGGTCACAGGAGTGAACTGTTAGAGCGTGTGCCTAAAATATTGTCAGTTATTTCATGTGCCAATTTTTAAAAACATTTTGTGTTGCTTCTTATCGTGATATTTGCTGGCTACACATTTGAAGTACTGTATAAATGATGTACGGATTAAAAACTCTAACATAAGCGAGAGAGTTTGTTTGTTTGTAGTTAAGCACAAATTTACACAATGGGCTATCTGTGCTATCTAGCATTATACAGGCGAGAGACATAAATACAGGTCGAGAACGAATGGTTTTAAATAGTGTAACGGTATGTATAAATTTGAGGAGAGTTATAATAATAAGAATTCCAGAAATATATTTACCCAGAATTCCATAAGAATCAACCTAAATAGAAACTAATCACTGGTGAGTTAATGTGTTAGTGTTCAAGTCAATGTAAACTCTGGGGGATCGTCTTATACACCTTGTACGTTTTAAAGTAAAGTAGGTCTGTTGGGTCATGATTTTATTTTGAGATAAGTAACATACTTTAATATCTGAAAAAGTTGTTCTGATGAATAGTGGATATTTCAAGTATCCTGCTTTGACTCATCAGTTTGTGGGCCATCTGTATATGTGATTCCATTAAGAATGTCATTGATAGTAAAGTGCAAAATAGTACTTGTATGAATAATATAATTTTTAAACATAATACACACACATAGTAATAGAAATGTGGATATTCATACAAATGGAAAAGAACAAAACAAACTGAA